TCAGTGATTATAATACCAGCCAACTGCATCTGCATATAGCAACATTAGTGATTGTAATACTAGCCAACTGCACCTACATATGACAGCTATAGTGATTGTAATATTAGCCAACTGCACCTGCTGTAATACTAGCTAACTGCACCTGTATATGGCAACATCAGTGATTATAATACTAGCCAACTGCATCTGCATATGGCAACATCAGTAGTACTGCTTCTCTATATCTTATGATAATCGTAATGTCGTATTGTAGTACATGAGGTCAGTGTGGCCACTATTACTTATCCGTTCACAAACCAGTATGTCACTACAGCCATATATGTGCCTTTTCTATGTGAAATTAGGGATAGACCTGGTCCAGTACACTTTGCAAATGTATACATACTGCCATGTCTGCTGCCAGTAACTTGAAGTGTGATTTATCTGTGAGCACTTGAAGACATTAGGCCATATCTCGTTTCACCAACCCACATATTCTTGATATCACTTAAGACAGGCTACTTTATGTCAGAGGAACCATACCACTGTTTCCCTGGCATAAAAGTCGACCATTGTGAAAACTGTTTTTGACTATCTACATGTTGGTTTGTTGCCCAGTTCGTATAAAACTTCAATAGCCAACACTGTTCTGTGGACGTCACTTAGTGTATAATTTCTACATCTGTATGACCTCAGTTAGTTAAAGTTTTCGAAAACCAGCACTGTACTGTGAACGTCACTTAGTATATAATTTCGATGACCAGCCCTGTGATGGGATTATATTTGGTTAATCACTCTAATGTTCTGTGGCGATTACTGATAAAATTATTAATGACTTCCTATAACTCTACATCACAGTTTACAGCCGACAAAACACTGCACAACTGTATATAACGTATATATATGCATGATGGATGCAATCTCTGTATACAGCATTATGTACCACAAGTAATATGATCGATATATTCAGAATTCTACTCGGCATATAAACACACGTTATCCGATTGTCCAGTTTACAACTACTATTACAAATGGCATTGCCATTGACTTTTTTACAACTTTATCAAATATATTCACAATTTTTATCTCTGGTAAGTTATTGATGGGTCAGGTAAATAAGAATTGTTGTAGAATATCTTGTGTGACTTAACAACTCACAAACCATACTGTCTGCGTTTCTTTCTTCGTTACTGCCATCTAGTGGTAAGTTTGGAAATATACTTTAATTCTTCTATTCAACTTGACACAATAATCAATGTTCAGAAATTTAAAACGGTGCATTATTTTGTGTAAAACATTTCAAAAATTGTATGATTATATCAACCAGTACAATGTAAATTATCTATAGGTATCCTAAGTTTTCAATGACAAGTGATTTTTAGACATTGATAAGATAACTTATGTTGATTAGTAAACATATAGAAGAGATGACAGTGTTTTATTTTTCAGATCTTATAAGATCGTGAAATAATGCTTCCCATTAAGAAACTTGTCTTATCCAAAATGGACGTATTTGGATAACCAAACTTCACGTGATTGAAATTCCCCAAACCTCAGTATTGTTATGTTTTCTTAAATTTTCTTCTCTTGGGTTTACAATTGTAAACATAAACGTCGTATTTATATACACATTGCGGTACAACCTGCCAGTCACAGCCATCGGAAGTATTGATTTTATATCGCTTTGCACTTGAATAGTAAAGTTCTTCTTTAACCTCTGGTTTAATTAAAAAAAAAAACAGACAGTTTTGTCTTTCATGAAATGACCACCATTTCTTGCATTAATTATAAATAATAAAAATCAAATATGACAATTAATGTTACACTAAGACAAACATTTAAACTCTACTAATTTTATCTTTTAACAGGACAACTACAAAGTAATTTTATTCAGAACTTATTATCTACATACATGTATTAATAAATGATAAAAATAAACACCAATAGATGGCGTATTGGTTGATGATAAACGTTTCTTTGCCCTTAAACTTACTGTTCGGCCACCGACGAGTAGCATTTTTGAGGCAATTACTGTTTTAGAATTTGTAATTATATTATCACAAATAGTATAGAATAAGCAAAACATTGTAATAGTTTTTAATGTAACAAAATATTAACGAAATTGCAACCACTTTCGATTAATTGTAGATTTCTTGCCTCTGCTATAAAAGAAAGTGAGTAAAATGTAATTACATTTATAAGTAACAACATGTATTAAAATACACATTATACAACAAAATCACAAACTGCCATGTGCGAGATCGAAAGCATTCTTTATATCACTTGTAAAGTCACTACATTTACGTCAAGGAAATATCAAATATATAAGTAAATGAAAATACCAGCGGTGAACTAAAACGCAGTGTTTGTCGATGAACGTCTTTCAATGAAACGAATTAGTTTGTTTTTAAAATATGTTATCTTGAATTTTGGGTTATTTTTTTTTCTTGCATGCTAACATATACTTGAAATATAAAAAAAAAGAATATTGAGACAACAGTGTGTCTTTTCAACCAGAACGACATGTTATGATTTTGTGTGAGATTCTCTCGTACTTTGGTTGACATGACAGTTCAGAAAAAAGAAAGAAACATTACAATCAAACATGACATACACTAATAATTCACAGTAGCCTTTTTTCTTTCTTTTTTTTCTGACGCATCTTTGTTTTAAATAAGAAATTTCCACATTCACGGTAGCATGAGATTCACTTCTGAGCCTTTCAGCGAGACGGGGCTTAACGATGAGGTGTGTGTCTCCTCGGCATATTTCTTATTTTGTGTTAATAATCAAATAACGTGCCAACACAGACCACATTACATCCTGTAAGAAAACAAAAAGTTTTGATGAGAAGAACCATGACACGGTTCTCATAATCATCTTCACAACCATAACAACAACTTACTGAATGATAAAGATAAAATTTCTCGCCGAGAACCACTTATTGAAAGGACACTGAGGAAACTACAAACTATTAGGACGGAGTTTGAGCACTCGCAATCGTTGGAATATTAATTTTAGTTCTAAGGAAACATTACTAATACAAACCAAAATAACTGTCATTGTGAATTGTACTTCTATTTCTAAACTAGCTGATGAAATACAAACTCGTTTGTAACATAGGATAGGAAATTGTGCTTTTTTTCTTTACATATTAAGCATTAAAAGTGCAATATAAATACATAAAGGGGCCAATACTGAAAAGAAAGATATACCATTTTCAAGAATTCTATCAATATTAAATTAGATGGGAGGTGGTCCAACCTCCCTCATGATCTTCTCTATGTCATCCAGTATCACTGTGTCAAGTTGTGATGAATTGGTAGTTTTTCCGAAATTATATATGAAATTAGACGGTGAGGGGGTCCAATCCCCCCCCACACACACACGTCATCCTGTATCCCTATGTCAAGTTTGATGCTGATTGTTCAAGAAACGTATAAGGAACAGGCTATGTTAAAATGTGTTTGATATGTCCACATTCACCCACACATCAGAACTAGGTTATGTTGAAATGTGTATGTCCACATTCACCCACATATCAAAACTAGGTTGTGTTGAAATGTGTTTGATATGTCCACATTCACCCACACATCAGAACTAGGTTATGTTGAAATTTACATGTCTACATTCACCCACATATCAAAACTAGGTTGTGTTGAAATGTGTTTGATATGTCCACATTCATCCACACATCAGAACTAGGTTGTGTTGAAATGTGTATGTCCACATTCGCCCACACATCAGAAATAAGTTATCTTGAAATGTATATGTCCACATTCACCCACACATCAGAACTAGGTTGTGTTGAAATGTATATGTCCACATTCAGCCACATATCAGAAATAAGTTATCTTGAAATGTATATGTCCACATTCGTCCACACATCAGAACTAGGTTATGTTGAAATGTGTATGTCCACATTCACCCACATATCAAAACTAGGTTGTGTTGAAATGTGTTAAATATGTCCACATTCGCCCACACATCAGAACTAGGTTATGTTGAAATGTGTTTAATATGAGCTACCTCGTATGATTGTATAGGGGTTTCAAGAGATGATTACGCTGTGCTCACCAGCGTAGTAAGCTTGCATTTTGGTAAACAGGATGGTTATTAATACAGTTCATCCGTCACTGTCATAGGATAATGACTTTCTGCGGTGGGGTGGAGTTGAGGCTACAGCTTGTAATTTTCTGCATAAAACATATAGAAAGACAAAAGCTTGAAAGATCAGTGACCTCTTGACCACCAAAAGCTTGCCTAAAGATATGCATCGTGCTTTTAATGGCCACCAGAGGACTTGGGAGTAGTTTAAGCCTAGTAATTATCAAGTCGGTCAAAAAAAAAAAAGAAAAGTCATCCTTAGCACGATGAGGCTTCTATAACGAAAAAATGATGAATGGATAACAGAAAATGTGAAGTTAACATAGTTACTTCGGTTTTCCGTTATATATACACACACATATCTATTCTGTTTGAAGTCTATAATGAAGAAAAATTAATTTAAGAGATGCATGTTGACGCCATACAAAATAGGTGAAAAAGAAAAATATCCAAGTTACTTAGATAGCCCTAGAGGCATTCGGTGCTTTGTATAGATACATTCCCGTCATTTACTAAGGCTTTAGATACAAACAGATACAGCTACACAAGCCAGGTAACGAAACAATAATTAAAAACGCTGTAAAAACTAAGACTGAATGCTTGAATTTCTCGTTATAGCGATCTTTTAATATTTTGTTATGCTGTTATATTATGGCAGGGAACAGACTCAGTAAGCTATTTTACATAATCCGAGGCAAATTACATGAAAATTGCCTTCTTTTTTAATGATTGAGAACGGATAACACAAATGTTTAAGACTAGACTAATAAATATGTATTGTTTGTAATGTTGCAAGCGTTTATTTTAGTTGATAAATGTGTTTTTTATAAATATTCATAAAATGTTTGTTTCTCTAAATATCTCAATCAAACAAAATATACATATTGCTAAAACATAGTTGAGTCATAGATAAACTTTTTGTAGTGTACGTTCTAAACTGTATCTGTATGTTAATTATAGTTATTAAAAGAGAAACGTAAAGTGTAAAAGAGATATATATCTAGGCCTACATATCATTTGCCAACTTTCAAAAGTACAGTAAAAGCAGTAACAAGCATATGATAACGTTTCTTGAAGAATCTCTTCCTCCATTGTGACAAAGACCCCGTGACATAGTTATGAACAGTGGCATTTTCTACACAATTATTACTCTGCGAAATAGGTTAGATAATAGACATCTGATCGGATCTAAACATGTGGAGGAAACTAGTTAGAACTAAAGAGAGTGGACAAATGAACTAGTTAGGCGGAGATTAAATGAACAAAACAGAAATGGTAAGTTTCTTGTAAAACCTACAAATTTGGATGCATAGTTTTTGCAATAAACATCAGGTAAATTGTAGTTAAGGCTTTTCTAGATAGAGATTGATAATGTTTTTATGGCATGCAGAAAGATGACAGAAAAGTGTTGATTTAGTTAGAGAGAAAGAGAAATAATTTATTCTTATTCAAAACTAGAAAAGAATGAGAATGTAAAATGCACCAAATTGACCTATGTTTGCTTATACTTGTTTATTTTATGTGGTTTTGTTCATATACTTTAAGCTTATTTAGAATTAGCAAAATATATTTCGAAGCCCATACAGTTTGGGAATGTAAATTAGTTGTACTTATTAGCGTTACCTTTTTAATCGGCTGCATCTTCCTGGAGTTTTATGATGAACAACATTTTGAGGCCAGACACGTAACTCTGCCAAAAACATACTGTTACGACAGCGGAAATCACGCAACTCTAGGAGCATGCGCGCTGGAGTTTCTCGAAGGATCATGAATTTTCTTGGCAACTCTAGTTTGTTCCAGCGCCCTCTTTTTTTAGTATATAAGCCCGGCAAATAAAGCCAGCGAAAAAAAGATAGAATTGCATAGATAGATATAGAGATAGATAATTGAGTCAAGCGAACAGTAGGCACCGTAAATAAAGTGTGTGAATCGCTGTGAATTATAGCGTGTGTTTATAAGAGTAGTTTAGTTAAAGTGACTGTGGAAATTCTGTGTATTGCAAAGCTGTATCGAGAAAGAACAAACTAGTTTTATTTAAGAAAGGACTTGTATCGTTGAAGTTCCTCGGAAAGAATTTATGCCGGAAATTAAAAACGAACAGAGACGTAACAATACGTTAAACGAGCTACACTTATTTGAATAAAACGTATACTAGGTTGGCTGCTTAATAATAGCATAAAGAATATTAATGTTTTACAAACTTGGTAATAAAATTCATGAAGAAACGGGTAGTCTTATTTAGAATTATAAAGGGAAAGCTATTTCAGTTAGATTTAATAATGGTTTAACTTTATGTCAGGTATAATAGAAATTTCTCTCATTAATTAGTGTTTGATCATTAATTAAAAGTAAAAACATCTATTTTTTTTATTTTATGAGATTCTTCAGCTAATTAATGACTGTATCGCATGCTGCTTAACTTTCCTGAACAAATGTGTTTCGAAAAACCTAACATAAGTATAGGTTCGAACAACGTAATTTATGTCTGTATTTAAATTGAATAATATTTATAATCTTATTTATTAAGACCTTAAATTAAAACCATGTTCCAAATATATTTATCTAAGTATATATTAAAAATAAATTTAGTTTATTTTCAAACTAACTTAACTTCAGAACATTTTGCGTTTCTCCAAAAGTTGGCAATATAGTTTAAATTCACGCTAAAAGAACAATACCAACTCTATATGGACACTATTTTCGATCTTTCACATGTCCTTTTCAGTTCAATATTTCTTAGTTTCCATATAAATTTGATACTGTTCCATTAGTGTGGATTTAAACATTACTGCCCACTTGAATTTATTTTCAATTTTACTAATTGTCACTCAGAGATATTTAAACTATATTCCCAAAGCTTTATACTAAGTCTACATCCAGTGGCTTCATGCTCTGCTGTTCTATAGGCCATCAACAGTGGAGGGAGTAAGACATCCAAGTCATCTTGGCGGCTATTACAAAACTTTGCCAATTCCTGTCCCAGTGTCCAATTGTACTTTTCTACTATCCCATCAGTCTGTGAGTG